AGAAATCAGATGTGTTTATACTCGAGGCTATAGAAAAAACTAGCCGTGTTTATGATCGTGTCTATAGGTATAAAAATTGGCTGTGTTTATACTTGAGACTATAGGTAAACACTGATGAAGTATATACTTCAGTCTATAGGTAAATACAGGAAAAAAACATGAAGAAAATTTGAGAAATCAAAATTAAGATTTGAGAAAATTTAGAGGGTGGTGTCAAGTTTTCGAGTGATCGGTATGAAAATCCTTATCAAGGATTTGTGGAATTGACACGTTCCGCTTTTCGCATTTTTTTTTCAATATTTTCTGTCTGTTCGCTTTCTGAGATTTTGGCGTAAGGTTACCATTTCTTACTTCGCACGTGCACGATGCCACACGCTTAGACAAGAACCCAACGAACGTTTCTCACATATAATATCCAGCATACTAGCGTAATGCCCGTCAAAAATAACGATTTTATTCTAGTTAATGCGTAAATTATGCAGTAACTATTTAAGAATATCAAAGAGGCTTTATTCTTCAATAAAAAAATATTTTGAATGAATTCTTTAGCCAGATTATTTAATAAATGATTTGTTGATATCGCGGTTAGAAAGAAAAATATGTGCCCTCTGGCAGGAACAAACCATCGTTTGACCAGACGTGCTTATACTGACTCAGCGACGAAAAACATTTGCCTATTAAGCAATTTTGAATAATGCCTCTAAGAAAAATCCTCCTCCTCATAGACTCTCGAAATTTCATATCTGCTAGATTTGGTATTAAAACGTTAAAAAAAAGAAATTTTTGAAGAAGTTATTCAAATATGAGTCTACATTAAAAAAAATAACGTTTAAATTTTTTTAAAAATCAGAAACGAGTGTAGTTACTACACTAATCATACACAGAAATAAATTCAATGACAACTTTGATTTTAAAAATGCTACCCTCATTAAAGGAAGGAAAATCCTAGAGAGTGCCGACATTGAATATTATCCAAATATTAATCTACACCCAGGCTTTTTCCCTATTTCACCTTCTTAACAGAATTACTGCTCTCCCAAACAAACAATATCGTAAAATCAAAAGAAAATGGTTGAATCCTTCAACACAGAGATAATAAAAATATCTTCACACGTGACAGTAATTGACGTACTTTTCAGTTAACAGTATGAAAATAGCGTTCTATAAATTCTTCCAGATGCTAAGGACAATTTGTTTTTGTTATTATTAGTTACTTTGTTTAAATAAATTAATTTCGTTTTTTTTTGTCTTGAGAAAGTCCACATTGGATGAAACGCGTCGGCAACTATTACAGTTTTCCTATTGTCATATATATATATATATATATATATATATATATATATATATATATATATATTTCATTAAATAATATAGACAAGTGTTGTCTATTCATTTTATGTAAATTCTTTTCATAACGTCTGATAAGCTAAATAACATTATCATTATCATTTTCGCTTCTAGCGTCTTATATGCACGTGTTTATCGTTGCTAGGAAATCATCCATGTAAACAATCACAGACACTGTCGTGTCCGTATATTGCTTAATATATTGTACAGTAATTGACATCTTTGATAATGGCTTATGTAAGCCGAAAGCTTAGATTGGATTAAAAAATATGGATCAATATTGTGATTTTCATTCTTCGTTTAATGATAATGTTATTAAGCTTATCAGACGTTATGAAAAGAATTTACATAAAATAAATAGATAAAACTTGTCTATATAATTTAATGAAACATGTATGAGTGAAAAATGCTGCCTAAATACACACAATATATATATATATATATATATATATATATATATATATATATATATATATATATGTATATTGGGTTAAAGGGGCTCATGTTCGGTGGCATCCGATGGTCCCAAGAGACCATGAATTTGCGTCCAATGAGTTATGCCTCAACTGATGATTGTGATGCATCATCTTGTCGTCTCCAGTGTGCGGACTTGGGCAGGGTTTTTTGAAAGATCGCCGCTTGCTCATGAATAACTTAAGTGTATATTTTTGAATAAATGTATTTATTGCAAGAATTGCTTGAGAACGAAATTCTTTATAAAAAGAAATCCTGGCTCCAAGTGTTTAGTCTGACCTTATTAATCTTCCATGATTATTTTATAGTCTGTTCACACTGAAATATGGTTGGCTGTAGATGAATAAAGACAAGAGAAGAAACATATACACTTGTTCCAAAAGATCTCATTCACGTTATTGAATTTTGTTTTCGGTCTACGGAATTAATATCCTGAAAGAATTTAAATAATAGCATAGACATTTTTTAATAATCAGAGTTGGGACGTAAAAGAGAAATGATTGTTGGATTTAATGATATATTCACATTTGCTTGGTTATTTTATGCTGAAATTTGTCTTGTTACTTGAGAAGATAGGTAAATAATGTTCGTGTTTATACTTGAGTCTATACGTAACAAATTGGACATTTTTGTACTTGAGACTATAGGAAAAACTGATCATGATACTTGATTCTGTATGTGAATATATATACCCTTTAATGTAAGAAAAACAGCACTCAATGGTAAATAACAGAGCTATTAAGTATATATTAAGAAATATACAAAATACCCCACGTCGACAGTACTATGTATATATCACAGACGTGCTGTGGCTTCCCTCTCTCTTTTCTACAAATATTTTCATGGCACCTGTTCTGACGAGCTACTTTCACTGGTACCCCAGCAGCATGAATTTAAGCGTGCTACTAGGTTGGCATCTCGGTCCCACCCTTTCCCTGTCGAAACGGTTAAATGTCTCCGTCTCTTCTACTCCAACAGCTTCTTCTCTCGCACTTCCCGACAGTGGAACTCCCTTCCTCTTACTTGCTTCCCTGATAGCTATAATCTTCAAATATTTAAATGTAATGTCAATCGCCATCTTCTGATGCCATGACCTTGATCCCTGTCCCTCTCTCTATCCTTTCCTCAAACACTCCTCTTTTACTCTTACTCTCACTCTCTGTAACCCCTTTCTTACAGTGGCACTCCCGCCTTGCTTGGAGGATTTGATTTAAATATATATATATATATATATATATATATATATATATATATATAGAGAGAGAGAGAGAGAGAGAGAGAGAGAGAGAACTGATTCAATATTTATGAACAGACAGATAGATAGACAGATAGATATGAAAAGATTCAACTATAAAAGAACAGAGGATATGAACAGATTCACACACACACACACACACACACACACACACACACACACACACACACACATATATATATATATATATATATATATATATAAAGAACAGTAAGATATATAACCCGGTGTTCTTATAGATATTTTTATTTTTACAAAATAGTGCTCAATGTATATTTACAGAGCATTAATATTATAAATTAATTGATTTAAAATATGTTTTTTTTCGCTACACAGTTCTAACCATGTTTCAAAAATGGAAGCTAAAAGCCACGAATTTAATTTTTTTAATTAAATTAAAGACATTAGTTCCATTTCATCCTCAAGCGATCGCTTAATCTATTTACAAAATTAAATTCGTGGCGTTTAGCTTCCATTTTTGAAACATGGTTAGAACTGTGTAAAAAAAAAAACATATTTTAAATCAATTAAATCAATCAATATATATATATATATATATATATATATATATATATATATATATATATATATATACGTAGGTACTACCACCGATTCGCTAAAATCTATATGTTATTTTTAAAAATAAACGGCAAAGAATTTTTTGATTATTAAATTATATTTTTTTATCCATTTTAGATGGGTTCAAAATTTTACTTAAAATTTTTTTCTTGCATCAGCGCGGGACCAAACTTTAGTGTCTTTTTTACGGTGAAAAACACATTGATTTTAAAATTCTTGCAAAAATCTAATAATTGTCGGATTTTAATAAAACTTTCAAGAGTTTCCAAAATGAATTAAATTATTTAAAAAAAAAACATCTTTATAATTTTTTATAGGTATTACTCCCCATTTATTTAATTTTATGAAATTTCGAGAAATTAAATTTTGTAGCGTTTAATGCTTATATTAGTTGTAAATAGGGGTCCTTGAAGAATTTAAATCATCAATTTTTACCAGAATTCTTTTACTTTGCAGAGGTTTGGTGATTAAAAAATATATTTACTAATCACAAATGGAAAAGGTTACAATTCATCGACCCTGAATATTAAAAAAAAAAAAAATGAAATTCTTTTTAACGAATTTATCTTTCGTATAAACATGACGATTTTTGTAAATACTACGGACGTCCATGAACGCCATTATGAGAATGTATAATTTTAGAAGTATATTTTATTTTTAAAAGATTTCTTTTAATAAAGAGAAATACATTGTGATGAAAGATGGCTAAAAATGGCACTGAAATCAGGGATTTTAGAAATTTCAAAATGAAAACTCCTTCCACTCAATTTAAATTAGTTCTGTAATACGGCAAAGTATTTCGCTTATCGGGAATATTAAATTTAATTTATTATCTTTAAATTAAAACTTAAATAAAAGCTTCAAGAAAGACTTTTTCTTTTTAAAAGTTCAGTTAAAGTCTTAGGTATCGCGAATTTGTGGACGTACCAAGATAGATAGATAGATAGATTCAGCTATATATAAATAAATGTACTAGCAAGTGTTTAAATGCATGCACGCATACATACATACACACACACACACATATATAAATATATCCTTTGGTGCAAGAAAAACAGTGCTCAATACTAAATAACAGAGCTATTAAGTATATATTAATAAATATACATAATACTCACGTAGACAGTAATATATATACATATATGAAGAAAAATATATACGGAAAAACAAACAAAAATCCTTATATACAATTATGCTGTTTTAATGTTAATATGTCAACATTAAAACAGCATAATTGTATATAAGGATTTTTGTTTGTTTTTTCCGTATATATTTTTCTTCATACTGTCGGATCTATATCCATATATTTGCTTTTATACATATATATAGAGAGAGATAGAGAGACAGAGACAGATAGACAGATAGATAGATAGATAGATAGATAGATAGATAGATAGATAGATAGATACGAACAGATTCAAATTTAAAAGAACTAGTAGATATTAACAGATTCAAATATAAAGGAATAGATAGATAGATAGATAGATAGATAGATAGATAGATAGATAGATAGATATGAACAGATTCAACTCTAAAAGAACTTGTAGATATTAACAGATTCAAATACAAAGGAACAGACAGACAGACAGATAGATAGATAGATAGATAGATAGATAGATAGATAGATAGATAGATAGATAGATATGAACAGATTCAACTCTAAAAGAATAGATAGATAGATAGATAGATAGATATGAACAGATTCAAATCTAAAAGAACTGGTAGATATTAACAGATTCAAATATAAACGAATAGATAGATAGATAGATAGATAGATAGATAGATAGATAGATAGATAGATAGATAGATATGAACAGATTCAACTCTAAAAGAACAGATAGATAGATAGATAGATAGATAGATAGATAGATAGATATGAACAGATTCAACTCTAAAAGAACAGATAGATAGATAGATAGATAGATAGATAGATAGATAGATAGATATGAACAGATTCAAATCTAAAAGAACTGGTAGATATTAACAGATTCAAATATAAACGAATAGATAGATAGATAGATATGAACAGATTCAACTCTAAAAGAACAGATAGATAGATAGATAGATAGATAGATAGATAGATAGATAGATAGATAGATATGAACAGATTCAACTCTAAAAGAACAGATAGATAAATAGATAGATAGATAGATAGATAGATAGATAGATATGAACAGATTCAAATTTAAAAGAACAGATAGATAGATAGATAGATAGATAGATAGATAGATATGAACAGCTTCAAATCTAAAAGAATAGGTACATATGAACAGATTCAAATATAAAGGAAGATAGATAGATAGATAGATAGATAGATAGATAGATAGATAGATAGATAGAAATAGGTAAATAGATAAAATCCTTTCTTGAAAGAAAATCGATTTTAAAGCACTATTCTGTAATCCACTCTGCAGTCACAAGCGTTCAGATTAATGGCTGTCGAGGAAAGGCCACTAATTTTTTTGAATAATCGTCTTTCTCGTAATGACAGCGACAATAGACGTTGGACTATTATGAATTCACATCCACAGTCAACTCTCTTGATCATATAATGGGGGCCGGTTAACATCTGTTACAAGCAGCAATAAGGACAAATCTATTTCCCTTTCTCTCGCACGTAGCCGAAAGGCGAGAGATGTTGACCCACAGCTGATAAATATTATTTAAAGTGTAGCCATGTTTGAATATTCTTCGTTGAAGCTATGTCCCACCGGAACTGTGCCCCGATTTCCGCTTCCTGTCGCTTATTTAACGATAGTAGAATGTAAAATCGACCCTTTATCATGCGATAAAAGGCAATAGAAATAAGATGTTAGAGACAATAATGGTGTCCTAAATTTGCAGGAACCGGTTCTATAAAGGCAGGTAATCTTTACGAACCTATTCTGCTTATTTTCTTTTCAATCTGAGAATGGAAAAAATCACTTTATATTAGGGATCTTCACTAATTCGCAATACCTAAGGTTTAAAATGAAGGTTTAAAATTTAAAAAAGAAAAAAAAAGCCTTATTTGAAGCTTTAATTTTAGCTTTAATTGAAAACTGAAGAATTAAATTTACTAATTTCAGTAAGCAAAATAATCTGTTGTGTATTTCAAACATAGATTATATTGACTGGAATCGATTTTTTTTTCTAAAATGGCTGATTAGCACCCTTTTTAAACCTTCTTTCATCGCAATGGAATTCTCTGTATTAAAAAATCTTCCAAAAATAAAATATCTTTTTCTGAAACTTTATTTGAGGAATATTAACTGATTTAAAGTATAAATAATCTGATTTGAAGCAAATATTATTTACTTTAAGTTTAAAATAACACAGATATGCATCATTAAAAAAAAACAATAGTGTATTTTTAACCGACAGTAGCCATGTTTTTCATGCTTGACGAGTGATGACAGCTTTATGGGGGTTTTTTTTGTTTTTGTTTTTTACAGTAAGGTTCACACTGTACAAGGCCCAGGGGCTACTCAAGGTAGAGGGTTACGTTAAGAGGTAGTTTATATGGATAAGAGGGGGGAAGATAACGGTTAACTCTAGAACTGAACAGGTTAAGACTGTAGTGATCGGGAAAACATCATCAGAACAGTGGCTCACGGGAAGAAGTTGAACTTCTCGCCGATGGAATACGGAGGGAATGTGGATGGTTTACTACGATGTAAGTGGCATGGCATGTCCTTGCTGTGAGAGTTAGAGCTTGCGGAACCAACTTATGTAGTTCGTCCGAGCACTTTCCGTGGTTGTAGCAACAGAGCAGTGAGAGACTCGCCACATTTCGCCTGTGTGACAGTGGTTGGAGAGTGGGAAAAAAAAACCATCACCCACAAGGACGCGGAGACACTTTTTCACTCTAACAAGACTGGAGAGTGACGTCTGGGCAGCTCCCATCCCAATATGGCAACAGTACTCCATTTTCGGCCCATGTGGTATATCTACATTGAAGATCAATATTTAAACTCTCTATTTATACTTGAGGCCGAACAACTACATTGGAACCGCAAAAAATATACACTTAAGTTAACCATTTGGCATATATTGAGAGATAGATAGATAGATAGATAGATAGATAGATAGATAGATGTTAGCCCTATCTCTGATATTGAGCGCTTTCTAATAAGTACCGCGCATATAATATATAAATAATTATATATATATATATATATATACACACACACTTTTCACACACACACACACACACACACACACACACACACACACACACACACACACACGCATATATATATATATATATATATATGGTTAAAACGTTCGCAATCTGACCATGAGACCCGGGTTCAAATATTACCATGGTCGATATGTCAGGAAGGAGAGTTCCTCATGCTATCGGACTGGAGGGGTCGATCCCAGTGTGCGGCATCCTTGGAACGTGCCTGAAAACCATACCACGCGTTGACGTTGTGAGTGAATTTGGGTAGACGGAATCCTTGGGGCTAGCACGAAGTCACAAGTCATTGTGGCTGAGGGCTTGTTCAAATTGTTGATCACACTACAGGTGGGCGCTGTAGGTGTTGAATAAACACTAATGCGCCCGAGCAAACATCTTGGGTGTCTGTTCCTCAGCTGTTTGAGTTGAACTGACTTCTCGCCAATGGAATACGGAGGGAATGTGGGTGATACGATGTAAGTGGCATGGCGGGTTGTAGCCGTGAAGGTTAAAACTGGCGGAACTAAGGAATATAGTTCTTGAAAGCATTTTCCATGGAATTAACGAAAGAGCAGTGACAGGCTTGTCACATCCTGTCTGTGTGTGTGTGTGTGTGTGTGTGTGTGTGTGTGTGTGTGAGAGAGAGAGAGAGAGAGAGAGAGAGAGAGTGAGAGACGTCGGAGTGTAGAAAATAATTCTTCTCCAACAAGGGACCAGGGACGATTTTGAACTCTCAAGACCCGAATACGAGGACTGGGTAGACCCCACCCAAATATGGCAACGGTACTATATTTTCAGCCTGAACTGGCTCTTAAAAAGATAGAGGATAGCATCATCATTTACTAAAGCGATACAGGCGGGGGGCGACCATTTTAAGGGCATCTTTAGCGATGGATCGTATATAAAAGTTCTTCTTGAGGTTGGGTGTGAGTTTGAGGCCCAATATTCTCTCAAGGCAGTGTGCCTCCTCGAAGCGGGCATCTATTCATCGTGACTGGCGTTAGTTCGTGGCTTGAGTGGCGGCCATGGCATTTAAGAACTTATTCTACTTATTTTCAGTCTGATAATGCAAACAAATCACTTCATTATCTGTCTATATTTCTGAGATGAGGTATTATGTATACTATTTACATTATTCGGACTATTGTCCTCATCTTTATCGCCATATTTATCACCCTTCAGTATCTGTCTATATTTCTGAGATGAGGTATTATGTACACTATTTACATTATTCGGACTATTGTCCTCATCTTTGTTGCCATATTTATCACCCTTCAGTATCTGTCTATATTTCTGAGATGAGGTATTATGTACACTATTTACATTATTCGGACTATTGTCCCTCATCTTTGTTGCCATATTTATCACCCTTCAGTATCTGTCTATATTTCTGAGATGAGGTATTATGTACACTATTTACATTATTCGGACTATTGTCCTCATCTTTTGTTGCCATATTTATCACCCTTCAGTATCTGTCTATATTTCTGAGATGAGGTATTATGTACACTATTTACATTATTCGGACTATTGTCCTCATCTTTGTTGCCATATTTATCACCCTTCAGTATCTGTCTATATTTCTGAGATGAGGTATTATGTACACTATTTACATTATTCGGAGTATTGTTCTCATCTTTGTTGCCATATTTATCACTCTTCAGTATCTGTCTATATTTCTGAGACAAGTTATTATTATCAATCTGGTACTAAATATCCGGATATATTTATTCGTAAGTCTTAGCTTAGTCTGACTCAAGGTCATAAAAGTGGGTGGACACAGTTGAATAAAGTTTGCAAATGGTCACAATTCGTAGACCGCTCAGCGAGGTTATTTTGCTTTGGAGCTTTTTTTAAACATCCCCCCACCAGCAAGCACACACACCATGCAAGGGAATAAACGTAAAAAGACTTTAGAAGGAACCGGAAACCCGACACAAGACCGGAAACAAGGTATAAGCGTCTATTCCTGTTCAAAAGATCACTGAGGAGCATCAACCGTACGATAAGTGAACGTATCGACTCCTATTATCGATCTATCTAAATTCGGTACCTCAAAAAATTGTTTTGAAAATGTGCCTATCGTTACGATAAAGGACCCCAAAATATTTATGCTCTCATTAAGAGGAAAACCAAAGTATTTTTTATTATTTAAATATATTTTTAATCTTTTCTAGCACGTTCAAAATTTTGGTTAATTTTTTTTATTTTTACAATTCTTTTAGAACCGAGAACTAACTTGTGTTTACAAATGTCTTAAAAACTGACGATGACATTAGTGAAAAAAGCAATGAAAATCGATTTTAATCAATATAATTTCTGTTTTGAATACACCAGAGTATTTTGCTTAGTGGAAATTGTATATTTCATTCTTTGGCTTTCAATTAAAACTAAATTAAAAGCTTCAAAAACGCTTCTTCATTTTTTAAAATTTATTTTAAACTTGAGATATAGTCATTTTTGTGGAGGTACCTAACATTATAGTAGCAAGAAGAATTAAAGCATTTTGATAATTTACTAGAAAACATTTATTTATTAAGATATTTCTAGATTGAAATTCTGTTCTTATCATATTTCTGTTCAGAAATATGATGCTTTTTTCACTCTAGTGTCATCATCTGTGTTATGGTTTCATAGCCACATTCGAACTGAATCCCTAAAGTGTCAAAAATCCAAGACTTCTCAAATTTAGAATTAGAAGATTTGCCATATTTTCAACTTCAAAACGATAGGGGGCGTGTGTCGATTAGAATTTCACTAAGCGCGCGCAAGAGCGTAGCGTAACTAACATTTTAAGTAGAACATCGGCTATTTAAATATGAGCTTATTTTCGGATAATCCAAAAAGAGCTTTTATAATTTTAAGAATCAATTCGAGCTAACCAGGGAGAACCTGTCGGATGCCATCACTGTTTAATACCAACATTATTATTTTTGTTGTCTTCTTATTTCTCGAATTTCTTTCATCGACTTATTATACATAATTTGACGATGTTTTTTATCGATATAGACGATATGTTCATGGGTACACTTGTTAAACAGTAGAATTAGTTCTTACAGATCGAGAAGACCTGCTAAAAAATAGGCCTCCTGATATGAATCGAACCTAAACTCCTCTTTTTTTAAATCAAAGTTAAAACATTTGAAGGAAGTGTGCTTTACCAATTAGGACACGGGAAGGTCAAATACAGTATTTTACAAATGCTCATCTCTCGCTAGAGTCGTTTCGAAGCTTATAGGTGTTTGCTTTATTTTCGTACTAGAAAATAAAATTGAAGGAAGGAAGGAAGGAAGGAAGGAAGGAAAGAAAGAAAAAAGAAAGAAAGCGGGAAGGAAGGAAGCAAGGAAGGAAAGAAATAAAAAAGACAGAAGGAAAGAAAGACAGAAGCAAATAAAGAAAGAAAGAAGGAAAGAAGAGAAGAAAGAAGGAAGAAAAAAGAAAGAAACACGGAAGGAAAGAAAGAAGAGAAGGAAGGAAGAAAGGAAAGAAATAAGAAAGACAGAAGCAAATAAATAAAGAAAGAAAGAAAGAAGGGAAGAAAGAAGGAAGAAAAAAGAAAGAAACACGGAAGGAAAGAAAGAAAGAAGGAAAGAATGAAGAAACGAAAAAAATGGAAGACAGAAGGTAAGAAAGTAAGACAGAAGCAAATAAAGAAAGAAAGAAAAAAAGAAAGAAAGAAGGGAAGAAAGAAGGAAGGAAAGAAAAGGAAAGAAAATAAGAAAAGAAAGAAAGACGGATGGAAAGAAAGAAAGAAAGAAAGAAGGAATGAAAGAAGGAAAGAACGAAAAAGAAAGAAAGAAAGAAGGCATGAAAGAAGAAAAGAAAGAAAAAGAAAGACAGAAGGAATGAAAGAAGTAAAGAAAGAAAAAGAAAGAAAAAGAAAGAAAGAAGGAATGAAAGAAGGAAAGAACAAAAAAGAAAGAAAGAAAGAAGAAATGAAAGTAGTAAAGAAAGGGAAAGAAAAAAAGAAAGAAAGAAAGAAGGCATGAAAGAAGAAAAGAAAGAAAAAGAAAGAAGGAATGAAAGAAGTAAAGAATGAAAACGAAAGAAAAAGAAAGAAAGAAGGAATGAAAGAAGTAAAGAAAGAAAAAGAAAGAAAGAAAGAAGGAATGAAAGAAAAAGAAAAAAGAAAGAAGTAATGAAAGAAGGAAAGAAAGAAAAAGAAAGAAAGAAAGAAAGAAAGAATGAAAGAAGGAAAGAAAGAAAAAGAAAAAGGAATGAAAGAAGGAAAAAACGAAAAAGAAAGAAAGAAAGAAGGAATGAAAGAAGCAAAGAAAGAAAAAGAAAGAAAGAAGGAATGAAAGAAGTAAAGAAAGAAAAAGAAAGAAAAAGAAAAAAGAAGGAATGAAACAAGTAAAGAAAGAAAAAGAAAGAAAGAAAGAAAGAAAGAAGGAATGAAAGAACTAAAGAAAGAAAAGGAAAGAAATTAAGAAGGAATGAAAGAAGTAAAGAAAGAAATAGAAAAAGAAAGAAGGAAGGAATGAAAGAAGGAAAGAACGAAAAAGAAAGAAAGAAAGAAGGAATGAAATAATTAAAGAAAAGAAAGAAAGAAAAAAAGAAAAGAAAGATAGAAAGAAAGAAAGAAAGAAGGAAGGAAGGAAGTAAGAAAAAAAAACGAAAGAAAGAATTAAATAAATGAATAAAGAAAGAAAGAAAGGAAGAAGAAAAGAAAAAGGAAAGAAAGGAAAGAAAGAAAGAAAGAAAGAATGGAAGAAAAAGGAAGAAAATAAAAATGAAAAAAATGAGAAAGAAAGAAAGTAAGAAGGAAAGGATTACTCTAAGTAATCAATAATAAGTAATGAGTTAAAAGTCAAATTCGGATCCACAATTATTTCTAATCAATAGCATCTTGATTAGATTGAAAGATCCTTCAACGTCTACCCAATAAACCGGAAGTACTTGTCCTTACTACCCATAATTCCCCATTAGTCAGCATATATAAATAGTTGAGCCATCACACAACACAAATGTCCTGAAGATTACATTCAAGCCTGAAACAGACTGCCACCGCTTGGTGTTGACCATAGTCTCCACTTTTAGATTTTCATTCTCTCTATACCCGATACTGACTGCTTTTACACACACACACACACACACACACACACACACACACACACACACACACACACACACACACACATTTCGGTTGGTTTTCGGTGCCAGCTGGTAGCGATGGAATATCTAGTTAGACTGATGAGCTGTGATACAGTGTAACAGGTTGTCTGTGGATGACTATATATATATATATATATGTAAATTTACATTGAGCACTATTTTGTAAGAATAAAAATATCTATAAGAACACCGGATTATATATCTTACTGTTCTTTCATTTTATATATATATATATATATATATATATATATATTATAAATTAATTGATTTAAATATGTTTTTTTTCGCTGCACAGTTCTGGCCGTGTTTCAGGAATGGAAGCTGGAGGCTCCAAATTTGATTTTGTAATTAAATTAAAGACATTAGTTCCATTTCATCCTCAAGAAAATTCGCTTGAGGATGAAATGGAACTAATGTCTTTAATTTAATTGCAAAATTAAATTCGAAGCTTTTAGCTTCCATTTTTGAAACATGGTTAGAACTGTGTAGCGGAAAAAACATATTTTAAATCAATTAATTTATAATATTAATGCTCTGTAAATTTACATTGAGCACTATTTTGTAAAAATAAAAATATCTATAATATTATATATCTTACTGTTCTTTTCTTTATATATATATATATATATATATATATATATATATATATATATATATATATATGGGATAGCTTAAATGACATTTTTATTATATATATATTGGCCACACTACAACATGTTTGTCATGCCGACTCACTCTACATTTTTCTGACCATAGCTCAATTAGATCTCATTTAAATATTCATAGAGACCTACCGGACACTATTCGTAGCATACTTGTTGACAACACTAATATAATAGCATCATCTACATGCAAAAAAAGGCTAAAAATAATGGAAGCCTTATTAAGAAAACCAAAAAAAACAACACTCAATAATATCGACTATTAACATAGACACAATATCTTGACCGTGTTTTGAAAAATGAAAGCAATTTATAAAATATACATGGAACAAACTATTTCTTATTTAACAGTTAAAATATTTAATCCTTGAAAATGGTTAAATGTATAGCCGAAAGCGCTCGAGTAAAAAGAACATTCGGAGAGTTTTTATATAATTTATCATCTGAAAAGAAAAAAATTATTAGATCGCATGAGAAATTGTATAAAAAAATTAATAAAGCACGTTGTCTGTCGTATTCAACGAAATGTGCACACACAAACACACACACACACATATATATATATATGCGTGTGTGTTTGTGTATACTAGTCAGACACAGACAAAAAATTGATGCATTGTTTTCATGGAAAATAAATTGGTGAAAACTTAAAAAGCTTTGTTTATAATTTTTATTCGATGATAGAACATTTAAATGTTTTTGTACTCGTATTTTTGATAATATGATTATTCAATTATCCGGAATTCTTCAATTATCCGAACGAATTTTCCCGACACTATCCTAAGGTATCCGGATTATTGAGGATGCACTGTATTACGTTTTACGTGGCTGATAAAAATGGTGGCAAATGTACTTTTAAAATGAGCGATGTGAATGAATTCATTCTACCAGCTGTGCCTGCGAGGCTTGGAAAATTAATAATGGACAGGCAGGTATACCCGACCTAATCGAATAGAAGCTGAAAGAGATAATATGAAGATAAGCAAAATATTGCTATCATATATTGTTATGGGACCTTACCCATAATAACATAATGGACTATTCCATACGTAATAAATACTGCTCCTCAAGAGGAAGCAGGGAGTTCCGTCTGAAGTTGGGTGTCCGCCTGACCGGCTGATCGGTTGAACTCTCTGCCTTCGGGCGGGGAGGAACCCGAATGAGGCTACGCTGAAGGGCGGAGTCTCTTTCGGGGAGGTAAACCGACCCTGAACCCGTTTATACGCGTTCAAAGGGCATATTTTTGGCTGAACCCACGGGCTCGGAGATCCCACGTTAAATCGGCCTTGTGCCACATGATACCCTCGTGGGGGGGTGACTAAATACTGTTCAGTCTGAAATCTGGAGTGAGGTCCGTCAGAAGTCTGTCAGTCAGAGCGAGCGAGTCAGTCAGTCAGTCGAGTCAGAGGCAGTCCGAAACAGAGTCGCGTTCAGGCAATTACTACTAAACCTTTTCTACTTCTCTGTATATATTCCTGTTTGTAATATATCTATGTTATTCCATATACGTGTTCGAGTTCTTCTTTATTGGTTCTACCTTGGACCATCACCGTGGTACAAGGAATTGGACCATAACATATATGTAAAAGGATTTGCAGGGCCTTGTTCCAGCGCCAAAACAGGTGGATCAGCAGTATCAGGGAATCGATGCCAAGAAACAAGGTCAGAATATGACGCTAGCCGACGGTAGGGCAACAAATAACTGGGTCGCCGCATCGGGATGCTAAGTTTAGACATCTGTGGGATGAAAACGAGCAGGCTTTTATGGAATCCCCCATACTTGCCTCTCACTCCCTACGGGAAGATGCACTCTTCTCCAAATTAACCTTTAACCAATCATCACTTCACTTTTTCCAAACTCAACTTCCCATTGGTTAAAAAAACACAAAAATGTAGCAAGTTTAAACAAATCCTTTTTTCCTGCGTATCTGTCTGGAGCCTATTTGAAAACCCAAAAATCTATAAAAAAAAAAAAAAAAAAGAATCGCCCGACTTAATTCAAGTCAGTCAGACACTGAGTTTCGAGAGATGCCAGCAGACTCGACGCGTGCCAACACACTGAATCAATAACACTACCAGCCTCTCATCAACTCAACACAGCTCGCACTACTATTGCCGCGTGAAGAAACTTAACTTACAATTTACTAAAAAAGTGACATTATCACTACGAAATAGTAATTGTACATTTAATAAACTTTAGCATATCAGTCAAAGGCACACAACTCTTCATAACTTGAATCAACACTTACAATTGTCACACACATACACACTATTATTTGAACTCACACAATTGACATTTTACCTTGCAGAAATCAAACTGTTTTAATTTCACAAACAAACTTAAACCATCAACATTCATTCACCAAATCTCTGCATGGACACGCTTTTCAATCTTATCTCACTTGCCACATTTAACAAGCAACCTATCATCACTTTGTGTATGTCAAATATATATATAAATTCATGTTATTGTTGAAATCTATAACTACGTTGTTTTTCCTTGATTTCTTCAAGTTGTATTGTCTTCATATGTTCGTTTAATTTATTTGTTGTGGATAAATGCATAATGTACACGCACATTTTAGGCCTTCACACAATTTCACCTTCTGACACATCTTACTTAGCATAAATTCTGCAACACTTTCTTCCATTAAGAGTGAGAAAAAATGATGATGATGATGAGGAGGAGGAGGAGAAGAAGGAGAAGGAGGAGGAGGAGGAGGAGGAGGAGGAGGAGGAATAGTTTCGAAGATTAAAAATTAAAAAAAAAACTTTGCTTACAGAAGAGAGAGACAATTGCAAATAGGTCTACAAAAAATAACCCGCAGCAAATGCATAAATCAATTTTTAAAAATGGTGAAATTAAAATGGCGTAATATGCACAAAAATATAAAATGGTTTAAAATGTACTTTGCCGAAAATGTTTAAAAGTGCATTTAGTTTATTCAATTGTGTTTCCTGCATATCATCCGAATGTATTTGTTTCAAAATGAAGCTTGCAAAACACCGTGACTTACAAAGAAAAATATTATACATGTAAACGAATGAAAATAGTTAAAAAAACTTTAATGCATAATGAATATTACAATGTGATGCACGAGATAAACGAAGATTAACGAAAATTTACGAAGATTAACGAAGATTAACGAAGATTAACGAAGATAAACGAACAGAAAGAATGGTGGGAAATGAAGACCTGTAAAGGAACAAAGAAAAATTAACTACATAACTTTAGATAGATAGATAGATAGATAGATAGATAGATAGATAGATAGATAGATAGATATGAACAGACATAGATAGATAGATAGATAGATAGATAGATAGATAGATAGATAGATAGATAGATAGATAGATAGATAGACTGATCTTCAGATATGTCAACTAGCTGAGGTAGATGAACAGACGTGAACAGGTAGATATAGATAGACAGATATGTGAATAAGTTGAGACAGATGAACAGATATGAGAGCAGGCTGAGATAGGAGATAGACAAATATATGAACAAGCTGAGATAGATAGATAGATAAATAGATAGATAGATAGATAGATAGATAGACTGAGACAGGTATGTGAACAAGCTGTTACATATACAGACAGTCTAACAGACAGATATATGAACTAGTTGAGCCGGTAGGTAGATAGATGAACAGAGAGTAACGAGAAAATTGTTCGAAAATAATTATTTAAATTGTAACTTGTTTGAATGAAAATTAATCGAAAGGACAATTATGCTAATTGATAATTATTCGACATACCTATGTTTGATATACGTATGTAATCTTGCTTTGATAGAGTCAATGCCGATTTGCCTAGAACTAATAACGCTCTTGAAAGATGGCATAGGGCTTTTTTGCATCCCATCATCCTTCAATATGGAAATTCTTAGATGTCCTTAAATAAAACAGAATTTGCAAGAATAATATTGCTAAAGTAATATCAGATTGCCAAAATATCGAATGCACCAACAAATACCGCGACGTAAATGGAAAACTATATATATATATATATATATATATATATATATATATATATATATATATATATATATATATATATAAGTTATGCAAAACTAGGTAATCCGTATGGGTAGACCCAAGGAGGATGATATCCAGAGAGCTCAATGTAAATTCAGAGCAAATAATTTTCTGTTAGTAATGTTTTATCCAAATTTCGCCAAATTGGAAGTGAGTTTAAATAATACGGAGGTAAATTTTAAATTGATAATTTAATTTAAATTGAAATATATTACCCTTTTATAATCATTATTAATTTTAAAATTATTTAAATTGGAATAATCTTTGATAATTATGTAGGTATCAAAAAACAGTCACGAGTTTAATTTATGAACAAAACTCAAACGGATAGATGTCAACTTAATAATCAACAAGAAAAAAGTTTAAGCAAATAAAAAAGATTACTAGATGTAAATGGAATTTGTTATTTCAATGTACTTTCTATGAATTTATTCCAATCGACTATTTCATAGAAAATACCCAACAAACATCAAATTAAATTCTTCGTAGATTTTTTAGACATTTAGATTTATATCAAACTTTAACCCTCAAATATAGCCTTTAAAGTAATGCGAAATAACAGCGTCTAAGAAATTGCATGAAACCTTCTCTCATGATTGATTTTATTGTATCTTTTTCCTTTTATGTCAGTTTTCTTCTTCACCCCTTACCCATCTATATCTAGAGATAACATACGTTAAGTTAAGCGATGTCTGGCCCACACCAAGTGAGCTTAAGGATAAATAATTGAAATGGTACATCTAACTCACTCATGTCTTCTCTCCCCTCTCACTTCCTCACTTCGTTAATTTACATATGCTTAATACGGTCCATCAAAAATGTGTAAATTTTTTTCATTTTCATTTCAACCTTTGGAAGTAAAGTCTGATGATCCAGAGCCCTTTAAAAGGGCTGTGATGAAATAATTTTTTTATTCAAATATATATATATATATATATATATATATATATATATATATATATATATATATTATAATTGTTTTTTTAAATATGATTCCTTCGCTACATAAGAGTTCTCATGTTTCAAAAACGAGAGCCGAAACCATCAATATAATTATTAAAATCAAGCGAAAATTTAGGAACTCCTAAATTTAGGAAGGTTCCTAAATTTTCGCTTGAGGATGAAACAGGGCTTGTTACTTTAATTCAATTTAATTTGAATAATTATTTGGATGGTTTCGGCTCTCGTTTTTGAAACATGAGAACTCTTATGTAGCGAAGGAATCATATTTTTAAAAATATAATTATAATCTAAGCTCTACTTCTGTATGGAGCACTTTTTTTTTAAAACAAAAATACTAAAGAATCCTGGATTATTTACCAAACGTGTTCTTTCCTATTTCTCTACATACCTGCACACACAAACACACGCACACACACGCACACACACACACACACACACACACACACACATATATATATATATATATATATATATATATATATATTAGTCTTCAGTAGTTGACTATTTGCATGCACGAAATATATTACAAAGACTTTTTCTCACTAAATTGTTTAACACTATTTACATTATTCAGACTATTGTCTTTGTCGCCATGTTTATCACCATGTACGCTTTGGCCTTCAGGTGGTTGGAATGTCGAACTGAACCCCTTATTTCGCTCACTGGGTGTTGGGGCGCACCCACCTTCTCATCAGAATGGACTGATCTCTCTACTACTAATAGGACAGTTCTATAGAGTTCTGGGAAGATCAGGTGACCATCACACTTCCGTCTCTCTACCGGAAGATACAGTTGGACTTTATACTCTTTCTGATTGTTACTGACTAACCTGCGTTCGTTTGACTACTAATCTCTCTGTTGTAAATACCTCTTCAGATAAACCAGTATTTTTCCCTACGTATGTGTTTGTCCTTATTTCAATACACGCACGCGGAAACACTCAACATCTCAACACTGGGGTAGACTGTTCTAGTTCTATGATTCATGTTTAATGGATGCCAGTTATCAGTTATCTTCTGTTAATTTCCCTCTATATGTTCTCCACCGCCTTAACCGAGTATTGAACTCACACTCTTTGGGTTCTGTCACTGGATCTAACTAACACCTTCATCCACTGTGCCATGTGTCCTTGAGGACATATGTGTATGAAGTTGAGTAGTTAGGTAGATAGATAGATAGATAGATAGATAGATAGATAGATAGATAGATGAACAGAGCATAAGGAGAAAATTGTTGGAAAATAATTATTTAAATTGCAAATTGTTTGAATGAAAATTAATCGAAAGGACAATTATACTAATAATCAAACTAAAAAATGGATGAAGCGTCAGAGCTTGATTCAAATACAAGTGTAAACGCATGTATGCCCTCTCCTTTTTCACACATTTACTGTAACCTGGGGTTAATAAGAGGTTCTTCGAGAAGTTTTCCCTTTTAGCGCTTTACTAATCCTTCTCAACCAATCTTTGCATCAGAGTTTGTTCAAATAACAAATTAAGGATAGATTTATGGAATTATCCGAAGAAACTATTGGCTAAATGACAAAAGCCGATTTTGGATCTAGTTTGGCGCAGATTTCGTCCACTTAACTGACATAATCTAAACCAAACATTCACGCAAGACAATCTGTGTGTCATACGTAATTTACATGGTAAATTTGGAAAGCAGCCGATGAAAAAACAGGGCGTTATGGCCGAAAAACGGGCTTTTTTTAAACAGTTTTTCGTGTTTTTTTTTTTTGTTTTACGCAAGGAAGCGAGCAGGACTAAAACCACACTTATTTCTCTTATATCTTATTTCTTGGATGATGGGAATTTTTTTGGCGACATGATCGAAGAAAATTGGATAAAGAATGAATAGGTTATTCAAATCTTTATTTTTAGTAGCACGAAAAACCCGATTATTTCACAGGTTTTTTTTTCAATTTTCTGCGTGAAGCCAATGGCACAGGAAAACTATCAAACACTTTATATAAACCTCGTAAATTGAGCTGATGTTTTTGCATTAAGTGCAAAGGACATCAGTTCATCCAGTAAAAATTTTGCTTGCGTGTAACTTTGCCTTTGGTTTTGCAAAAACTCGTACCCACCCACCTACGGTTTTATCGATTTTTCTGACCGGTGGTCGGGGCAGGGGTGCCTAGAGATTGAAAAGTTGATCTTGAAAATTTGCAACATGTGTGTACAATTTAATCGAAATCGTTCGAGAAATGCGGACGTGCAAAATACACACACACACACACACACACACACACACACACACACAATGACAGACAGACATCTTTTGTTTTATAGATATAGATTCTGCGGAGTATAATTGCAGCCTTTCCAGGTAATATATTTTAAGGTGTTAATTAATACATTACATTTTCTCTTATTTTCTGTTTGATATAACTTTATTATATTTTTATATATTAATAAACTATAAAAATAAAAAGTAAAAAGATCATGGCTCTCCACAATTTCCTGTCTTTAATAAATTTTGTCTTTTTGTTAACTCTCTTAAACCTTGTTCCGCCATCTATTTACGCAATTTTCTTCTTCTTCTTCTTCTTCCATTCTTCCTTTCTTCTTCATGGCTTCTCCATGTACCGTGTCCTTTCAGGAGGTTGTTATCTCTCCTAATCATGGCCCGCCATCCATTTACCAAGCTGTCCTCTTCTAGCTCCTTCAGGACAAATCTTGTCTTTTCCTGTCCTTATTTTGTCTTCCTCTCCTAAACCTTGTTCCACCATCCATTTACTCAAGCTCATTCTTCTTCTTCTTCTATGTGCCGTCTTCATTCAGGACATAGGTGATCATGGCTCTCCACTATTTCCAGTCTTTTGTAGCTAGTAATAAATTCTATCTTTTTTGTTATCTGTCCTAAACCTTGTTCCACCATCCATTTACTTAAGCTCATTCTTCTTCTATGTACTGTGTCCCTTCAGGATGTCGGCGATCATGGCTCTCCACAATTTCGGTAGGATTTCCAATTCTCTCTGTGCCTTTATATAGATCTTTTTTCGAAAAAGTTGTATCATATTATCCATTATGATCTCAATAACATTCGTATATTTCACTAAAATATTTAATCTTTCACAATATTTAATCTTTCACAATATTTAATCTTTCACAATATTAAAGGACACAAATGAACCGGATGTTTAGCCAATTCGTGTTTCTTCACCTAATTTCTGTTTCAAACTTATTTTGAGTATTCAGGAAAAAAATAACTAGACATACTTGGTAATACATTCTAAGGTGTTAATTAATCTATCGTTATTTTCTATTTGATATGACATTATTATATTTCTGTATATTATTAAACTATGAAAATAAATATATTGTCTTTCAATAAGAATGAAGAGAGAAAACTATAAAACAAAAAACAAGAAAATCAAAATATAAAGAAAGATTATCCTTCGATTAAAACTATCCTAATTTTAAATGTGTCAATGGAAGAACATGAAAGAACAAGCATAAGAATTATTGTCCCATTTTTATAGCAGAAAAATGTTTTTAAAAGTATATAGTTAAGCAATAGTTAGGCATTTATTGTACTATTAATGTTACTAAAACATAACAGTGCTATAAATAATCAAGAGTAGTCTCCCCTTGTTTTGTTACTCTCCTCTTTGAGAGAGCTATTTCTGTTTACTGGGACTATAAAACAACACTATACGCAAACTTTGTATTCTCAGTTGAATAAAGCTTTCTTAAAGCCTACACCTGCATACTTTTGTAAATACAGACAGATCTTGTGTATTCCTTTTATTAATTTTCTTAATCAACTTTGGTGAATTTCCTGTCTTATAAACGTTCAATTACGTACCCAAAGAACAAATATTGCCAATATTAAATACCTTTTGTAAAGAAATTGTTATCAACGCCTGCCTACTTTGTATTTTATTTGCAATCATGCTGTTTCAAATAGGATGTTTTTTTAGCTGAGTAAAAGCTTCTGAAAACGTATGTTTGAATATAATTCACCCCCCCACCATTTTGGCTTTTAATTTTTGTTCAAAATTTCTCCTATCATACAAAAGAAAATACGGCAGTGGCGTAATACCAATACTTGAATTTCAAGCACTTTCCAAGTCTTTGCCTAAAAATTAGATTCCCATATTCTGATACTGCTTCACTGGAAGGGTAGTTTGTTTTATTGGAAGTATAAAGATATTTACACTTGATCAATAGTTTAGGTTTCTCGTTGACCATATTGTAGCCTATTTGGTGGAAAATCTCGTGGATTCTCGGTAACTCTCGTACGTTCTTCTCGACAATTGACTCTCGTGAGAATAACCACTCTTGACATTACTTATTGTCATCAGCTTTATCACGTATCCAAGAATTTGATTTCTTCTTTGCTGATCACTTCCGTTATGATGATGGCGTCGATGACTAAATTCACTATTAACATGCAAGACTAGAAGCTTCCAGCTTCACCAAAATCAATTTTAGTGAATTTCGGTGAATTTCCCGTCTTATAGGTAAAAAAATTTAAATACCCTGATTCCCAAAGAATGAATATTACCAACATATCAAATACTTTTTGTAAACAATTGTTATCAACACCTGTCTACTTCGTGTTTTATTTTCAATCATGCTGTTTCAAATAGGATATTTTTTAGCTGAGTGAAAAGCTTCTGAAAATATGTATTTGTGTATAATTCAACCGCCACTTTTAGCTTTTAACTTTCGTTCAAAATTTCTCCTATACGGCAGTGGCGTAATACCAATACTTTTTGATCACTTCCCAGGCTTCTGCCCGCAAAATAGATTCTCATATTCTGAAACTGTAATCACCAAGTTTCATTGGAAGGGTAATGTTGCATTCTACATTTATTTTATTGGAAGTGAAAAGATTTTTACACTTTGATCAATAATTTAGGTTTCTCGTCGCCAGTATTGTAGCCTATTTGGTGGAAAATCTCGTGGATTCTCGGTAACTCTCGCACGTTCTTTTCGATAATTAACTCTCGTGAGGATTATTAGTCTGGAAATTATCTATCGTCGTCGGCTTTATTCCGTATCCAAGAATTGAATTTCTTCTTTGATGATCGCTTCCTTTATGATGATGGCGTTGATGACTAAATTCGCCGCCAACGTCCAGGTTTAGAACTAGAAACTTCCAGTTTTACCAAAACCTGTTTCCCTCATCAATTCCCTAAAACCTTTCTATTACTTACGCTATTCATTTTAACAAAGTTCCAAAGACATTTCCCAGGCTGAGTTGTGAGTTTATTCCTCCCTAGGTGCTGCATACGGACTTGTATAGTATCTAAGTAAAACCGCGACATTGTAATTAAATGAGCGTCAGATTTTAACTTAATAAAAATAGAAAACTGATTCTTACCTTCCTATTTGTTTAATAATGTTTATTTAGTGTTTATTTTTTTTCAGTTCCTTAAGTAATAATATGTGCAGAGTGTCGGAGTTAACTCCTCCTTTTCACTCCGTTAACCCTTTCACCAGGGGTCTCTCTTTCCTGGCTATAAATAGCCAATGACCCTTCGCCTCTATCTCTTTTTCTCTTCAGGCCTGTGCACCAACACCTCGAGGTAAATTTCTCTTATTCCTAGAGGATTTCAGCTATCAAAAGGTACGTCGAAAGATTATTTAAGAAATAGATACACATGAATGATGCAGTAAGAAAAAGGTACATCAAAAGATTATTTAAGAAATAAATACACTTGAATGATGCAGTAAAAAAGGTACGTCTAAGGATTATTTAAGAAATAGATACACTTGAATGGTGCAGTAAAATAAGGTACGCCCAAAGAAGAAACACCGTGAATTAATAAGTATCGACTCGGATTGAAGAATCAGAGTACCGAGTTCGAATTCCAGTGGAGTTCGTTACATTCGTCGCCGTTGTTAGAGCGGATTTATCTCGTATGTAAGAATTGAATTTCTTCTTTGATGATCGCTTCCTTTATGATGATGGCGTTGATGACTAAATTCGCCGCCAACGTCCAGGTTTAGAACTAGAAACTTCCAGTTTTACCAAAACCTGTTTCCCTCATCAATTCCCTAAAACCTTTCTATTACTTACGCTATTCATTTCAACAAAGTTCCAAAGACATTTCCCAGGCTGATTTGTGAGTTTATTCCTCCCTAGGTGCTGCATACGGTCTTGTACAATATCTAAGTAAAACCGCGACGTTGTAATTAAATGGGCGTGAGATTTTAAATTAATAAAAATAGAAAACTGATTCTTCCTTTCATATTGTTTAATA